GCGGCCACTGAACTCCAGTCTGGGCGACAGAGTGAGACTCCAACTCAAAAAAAAAAAGAAGAATTAGGAGTAGGACAGGGAGGGCTGATATTGCCATCTTTGCCAACTGTGCTGTGCCTAATACCCTTTTCTCTCTGCAAACTCCCTCCTTACATTGGGCTGACCACCTCACTGAAGAGGACCCCGAAAAGGGTGTGAAATGGTTGCCTGAGCATGGAGAAGCCAGAGACCAACAAGCCACTAGGACAGTCAAGAACTTCTGTACCCTTTGATTCTTATTTGCTGTATTTAAAGTGATTTTTAAGGTACTAAAAGTTTAAATCACAAAGGAAAAGATGAACAAGTTTGACATTACACATCAAAGAACTTTGTTTATTGGAAGATTTTATGAAATACGTGGAACTACAAGTAAAAATGAAAAAAATGATAAAAGAAGGTACTATGAAAATAAATGTATCTCTGCTTTATAAAGTGGAAAGACCTAGGCACAATCCTGAGAGCAGGAGTGGACAGGACCTAGGACCAGCGGGAGCGGGTGCTCAAGTCTCTGACCCAGCACTCTGCACCACATCTGTGTCAGCCCAAGTGGGCCTCACAGCACCCCCTGGGGCAGGTGCTCCTATTGCTCTATTTTATGGGTGAGAAAACTGAGATGCAGAGAGGCTGAGTGACTTGCCCAGGTTACACAGCTGGGGAATGGGAGAGCCAGGACTTCAACTGGGCAGTCTGGCTCGTGCCTCTGAGCTGCCTCCCCCACCCCCCAACCACCCCCAAGCTGGAGTCTCACTCTGTTGCCCAGGCTAGAGTGCAGTAGCATGCTCACGGCCACCACAACCTTGACCTGCTGGGCTCAGGCAATCCTTCTGCCTCAGCCTTCCAAGTAGGTGGAACCACAGGCACACACTGCCACACCTGAATGATTTTTTGATTTATTGTAGAGATGAAGTCTTGCCAAGTTGCCCAAGCTTGTCTCAAGCCCCTGGGCTCAGGCAATCCTCTTGCCTCTGCTTTCCAAAGTGCTGAGATTACAGGCATGAGCCATCGCACCTGGCTTCTGAGCTGCCTTTTAAACTCCTATGAGCTCAGAAAGGAAGACTGTAGTTTACGACAACAGAGGAAGAAAAGGCCAAAAATATACAGTCAGCAAATACACTAAAAGATGATCAGCCCCCTAGCTACAAAGGGATATCATCTCACATCAATCAGTTTGGAGAAAATTAATTGACTAAAAATGTCAAGATTAGGTTGTGATTTGGATAGGATGCTTACACATGGCTGTCGGGAGCATTAGTTGGTAGCCACTTTGTGGAGCAAGTGGGCTCATTGATAGAGCTGAGGATTGAGCAGCCTCTGAGGTGGTTTTATGCCTTTGTAGCCCCCTCCCCTGCAGTGGGCACTCCTTCCAAGGGGCTCTGGATGGTCCCTCGGCTCAGTGTGACAGATACTGGCCTTAGCTTATCTCCCTCTGTGTCCCCATCCTGTTCCTTGACCTAGGACCTACCCTCTGCTGACCACATGCAGATCTGCACCTAAGCTAGGCCTATGTCCTGGGCTCAAGCCCCATGGCCAGCATCTCCTGAACTTCTTTACCAGGATTATCCATGCTCCTCAAAGTCTGGGGGCTGCCTGCTCAGGCCTTTCTTTGCCTGTTCCTGGCTATGTCCCTGCCACCAGCCCACAGGTCATGGCTGAATCATGTTCACAGGCAGTACACTGTCAGGAGCCACCTGGAGTTGCTGACCTGATGGCCTGGTGCCCACCTGCCCAGGTGCCACGTTCCTGCAGCTCTTCCTGCTCGCTTGCACCAGCACAGCAGTCTTAGATAGTGTATGGCCTCCTTTTGTTTCTGTGGCAGACTAAAGTAGACAGGGGGGTGACTGGCGGGCATTTTTGGGAGGTTGGTACTTGGGCCCATTTTCTAGGACTGTTGTAACAAAGAACCAAACACAAATTGGGGCTTAAAACAACAGAAATGTATTCTCTCACAGTTTAGGGGCCAGAAATCCAAGACGTAGGTGGGATAGGTTCCTTCTTGGGAGCTCAGAGGGAGAATCCATTTCAGGCTTTCCTCAGCTTTTGATGGAGCTGTGGATCCTGGCTATGGCCATGTAGCTGTAGTCTCTGCTTCTATTGCCACACAGTCATCTTCTCCCTGCATTTTCTGTCTCTGTGTCTTTTATGAGGACATTGTCATATTGGATTTAGGGCCCATTTTACTATGATCTTGTCTTGACAATTGCATCTGCAAATACCCTATTTGCAAATAAGGTCATATTCTGAAGTTCTGACAAGGACATGAATTTGGGGGGACACTTTTCATCCCAGTATTGTCCTAGAGTCCTGTGCTTGGCCAGTGTGCCAGGGAGGGCATCTTATGGCTGTCACAGGACTTCTGGAAGGGGCAGCAAAGCAGACTTGGCGTGCTCACACTGTACAGCCCACTGCCCGCAGCTACTCACCCCTGTGCATCACTACAGCTCTGCAGCACTTCAGTGAGGGCACCCTGGAGTACCTCGCCAACCTGGACCAAGCCCCAGACCCCACAGTTAGGAGGGATGCTTTTGCTACCGACATCTTCAGTGCTTATGACATTCTGTTCCACCACTGGTTGCAGAGTCGAGAAGCCAAGGTATGTCCCCACTGCCTCTCTTGTCTCATGAGGATCCTGGCACCTGGGCCTTGTATACCTATCCTGTCTTACCCCAGGCCTGACGCACTCACACGAGGACCCCTTCCAACCACAGCTCTGTGGACTTTGACTAGGGGGCTATCATAGGGTGAAGAAGGGAGAGGCTAAGGTATCTGTCTATTCTTGCTGCCACAATACTCTCCTCCCCCAAGATCCCTGCCCACAACTGGCATTCAGAAGGTGGTGTGGTTGTGTTGGGTAGTGGAGATGCTCTGGGTGTGGCTCACCTTTAGGCTTACACATCTGTGCAGCGTCTCACCTGCAGGTCCCCTCATCTACATGGGTTCTCTGCAGGTCCCCACACCTGTGCAAGGACTTGCCTGCAAGTCCCACTCTTGTGACTGGTGTTAGCCTACTCTGGAGTTTGTCCTGTTCTGTCACAGGGACTCAGTCACTGTAGATGCCCCCTTTAGCCCCCAGTTCCTCTATCCTGAGGCCCAGTGCTGCCTGGGGTAGCATTGAGTATCTCCTGTAGGCACCCCTGGCCTGGCTGCCATCCTGTTTGCCACGATTACTCCACAGCCTCACTCTGACCTCTGGCTGGCTGGGCTCACTTTCCACCCCCTTTAGGACCAACTGGTAATCTGGTATTTTCTCATATTTGCCCAGTATGTGCTCTTGGCAGTCAGCATCAACTGAGCAGAATGAGCTTCTTCCTGTCCACTGTCTCTTCTCAGCTCCGGCTGGCCGTTGTGGAGGCTCTGGGGCCCATGACCCACCTGCTGCCCAGTGAGAGGCTGGAGGAGCAGCTCCCCAAGCTCCTCCCTGGGATTCTTGCCCTCTACAAGAAGCATGCTGAAGCCTTCTACGTGTCCAAGGTGTCGGCAAGCGGGTCAGGTCTACTGTCCAATGCCTGAGGATTCCCTCACATCAGATCCCACAGGGGTAGCCCTGAGTCCTCTGTTAAGATTTGGTGGTGGCTTGTGAAGGACTGGGCCTTCCTGAGAACTGGCTCAGAGTTTTCCTATCACTGCCCTGGTGAACTGGGCCTCTTGGCCTGTTGCACCTGTTGTATCTGTGACCTAGGCATCTCTTTCCTGGGCCTTCCCACATCCCCATCTGAGTTCTAGGGGTGGAAGAAGGGCCTCCTCATTTGAGCCCCAAAGTAGGATTCGTGGCTTCCTGGACCCCATTTGTGGTCCAGCTGGGAGGCTCTGGTTGGTCCCATAGTCAGTCCAAGGGGACTGGAGGTTGGACTAATGGCCCTCTTCTCCCTGTCCCGAGCAGAGTCTGGGCCAGATCCTTGAAGCAGCCGTGAGTGTGGGCAGCCGCACACTGGAAGCCCAGCTTGATGCCCTTCTGGCTTCACTGCATGTCCAGGTAGGAGGCAGGGGTGCTGGGGCAAGGGTGGGTCCTGGTGCCGCAGGTTGAACTCTTTTGTGTGAAGTTGTTGGATGAGGGGTGCAGAAAGCAAGTCAGGGTGAGTGTTTAAGCCAGGCAGGACTGCGGAGTAGACATTCCCTGGGAATCACATGGGTGCAGTTCCTGGCGATATGACCATGTTTTTGCTGTGTTCAGCAGTGGCATATGCAAGTGACATGGGAGTCCCCAGCATGGAGGTAGCAGGAGTGAGTGGTCAAAAGGGCAAAGTGTAGTGCCAAGGCCTGGCTCAGGTGGTCTTAGAGAAAGCTCAGTGAAACCTCAGTGATCTGAGGAGGAGGCCAAGCATCTGCCCACCTTCTGGGTCGGATGAAGGAGATCTGAGAATGGCTGTTGGATGCCAATGTGGGGGTGTATGACCTTGGCTAAGAGGACTGAATCCATGGGGCTTTCTAGGTAAGAAAGGAAAGGGGCAGGAAACTGGAGAGAGTGATGGCAGGTGGCCCTTTAGGGAGACTTGTGAAAAACAAGTACAGAGCTGTGGATTGACTTTTTTTTCTCCATCTCCTCTTCCTTGCCCCTCTCATGCCATCTGGGGCCCTAATCACTCACTGGCCAGCCTGGACAATCCTAGCTATAGTCCATGAACACATTCTTGGTCTCAGAAAGGAAAAGAGAGGAGAGCTACACCGAGATTATTAAAAAAATAAGTATTGTGAACAATTATATAACAAATTTCTAAAACTGTATGAAATGATTAGATTCCTAGAAAAATAAAAATATCAAAATTGGTAGGAAACACAATGGAGAACTTGATTAAACCAATAAGAAAATGGAAATAATATTCCAAGATCTTTCTTAAAACCAAGAACCCAAATGGTTTTAAGAGCGTTCTAGCAACTCTTGAAATACAATTAATCCTATTCTATGCAAGTTGATTTAGAAATGGAAAAAGGTCTTGATCTGCCCAGTTTGTTCCATGAGGCCTTGACTTCAAATTCAAATCAGAACCATGTAACAAAATGTAGGTATATAATTATGAGGATAGATGTAAGGATTTTGTATTAAGTAATAGGTAACTGAACCCAACACTATGCTTTTCAAAACACCTTGTAAAGTAGGGCTTAGCTCAGAATGTGAGGCTTGTTCAACATTGAGGAGCTATCAGTGTACTTCATCACCATGATAGATCACCAGTAAAATATCAAGTAAGTTGAATCAATGAGGAGAAAGCTTTTGGTGATATTTTTCTATTTATCATTAAAACTCTTGGCAACTAGGATTGGAAAGGAACTTCCTTAACTTAATAAAGTGTGTATACCTGAACCTTCAGCCTATGTCATAACGGATGGGAAGTGTTAGGAATACTCCTTGTAAGGTCAAGAACAAGAAGAATTTCCATTCTTACCGTGGATGGGGTCCTGCGCCAGTTCTGTGGGGAAAGAAAAGTACTGGGAGGTGCAAGGCTGGGAAGAGAAGACTGTCATTATTCATTGTTGCCCAGCTACCACCTTAATTGGCCAAACTACTAGAACTAATGAGAAGCTCTGCAAGGTTGCCAGTTGTAAGACTATCCTATAAAAAACAATAGCATTTTTTCTACACTAGTAGTGACCAACTAGAAAGTATTAAAAAGTGCTGTCTGTAATAGCAACAAAAACTTATTAACAGCCAAGCATGGTGGCACACCTATAGTCCTATAGTCCCAGCTACTCGGGAGGCTGAGGTGGGAGGATCACTTGATGCCAGGAGCTATGATTGCACTACCCTACTCCAGGCTGGGCAACATAATGAGACTCTAGTTCTTAATAGAAAAAAAAAAAAAGAAACTTATTGAGTTTCTGAGAATTAACCTAACCAAGAATGTCCAAGATTGCTACAGAAAATTATAATTCTTAATAGTGAGGAAAAAATGAGAGATGTGACACAGTATCATTTATATAATATAAAAATGCACAAAACAATACACATTTACAAAAAACTATTAAAACAGAATGATTGTCTATTGGGTATGGGGATGAGAGTGGAAAACAAATTTAAAAGGGAATAGCCGGGCTTGGTGGCTCAGCCTGTAATCCCGCGCCTTTGGGAGGCTGAGGTGAGTGGATTGCCTGAGCCCGCGGGTTCGAGACCCACCTTGGCAGTCGAGACCTCATCTCTACAATAAATCAAAAAATTAGCCAGGTGTGGTAGCGCACACCTGTAGTTCTAGCTACTTGGAAGGCTGAGGCAGAAGGATCGCTGGAGTCCAGCAGGTCAAGGCTATGGCGGCCGGGAGCGGCCACTGCACTCCAGTCTGGGTGACAGAGTGAGACTCCAACTCAAAAAAATAAAATAAAAGGGAAATATAAATATATAAAAGCTGAGAGAAGATAGAAAAAAATGTGTTATTTCCCATTCTTTGAACTGTCCATATCTTTTTTCAGTTACATTTTAGATTTTGTTCATATTGATCTGTAGCAATTATTTGTAGCCTTATATATGTATAAATATTTGTCTGTACTTTGTCCTTTATCTTTTGAATCTACTTGTGATTTTTTTTGCCATGCAAAATTGTTTAATTTTTACATTATCATTTATCTACCTTTTATGTTATAAAAGGTTTTGTTATATATAGAAAAGCCTTTCAAATTCAGTGATTGTTTTCCAAGTTCTCCCAGTTTCCCCTATACTTTTATCATTTAATCCATCTGGAATTTATTTTAGAGAAGAAGGGAAGAAGAATCCAACTGGGATTCTTACCATATGGATCTCTGTAGGGCTGATTGAATGTCCTCACAGCATGGCGACTGGCTTCCTGTAGAGGAAGTGGTCTGAGGGAGCAGGCAGGAAGCTGCAGTATCTTTTAGGATCACCTTTGGTCTTTGCAATAGAACTACAAGGAGCTCCCTGGGAACATAGGGCAGAGCCCTGGACCACTTACCCTGCTTCCCGAGAGTTCTCTAAGAACTGGTAGAGTCCAAGTTAGAGAGCAGCCCCATGGTCCCAGGCCTTTGCTCTGTCCTGTGGTTGCCTCTTCTTGCTCATAAGACAGCCTCTACTGAAGAGCTACTTTAGAACCCTTTACACAGAGGCCCTACTCATGTCCTTTGCTATGATACCGAGGAAGTGAGTGGGGACCTGGGATTTCACACCTGGGTTAATGGGGAGGGTGCTTCAACATCAGCTGCTAAGGTACTGTGGAGCCTAGAGACGCATCTGTCTACAGCCTTAGTTTTTGCTTTTTGCCGATATAACTTTTCTTTATTATTATCTACAATTTTGAACAAATGGATTCTAAGTGTTTTGGTTTCCATTGCTTTATATATTCTAGAGAGTAGTGGGTTCCAGCCTGTGGCCTGAGTGTACATGCCCAGGGGCATTGGAGACTGTCTCTTCTCTAGTAAAGAAATGTTTTGGGGGCCTCTGTTCTCCTGCTACTGGTAGGAAGGACAAAGTATGGAGGAGCAAGATGTTTCCTGGAGATCTGAGGGCCTGCTGTGTGTGTCTCCCTCCTCTTCCCTACCATATCCTTATATGGATGGGGCTAGTTTCTGAAGCACTTCTGAGGCAAGTATGTTCAATAGCCTGGTCATCCCTCTCCTGGGTGAGATAACGCCCAGAGTGCTCATTGCAGGTGTGGGGGTGGAAACCTGGAGTTCTCTACCCAGCTACCCAGGCCCAGCATCTCAGAGGGCATGAGTCCTCCCTTCCAACGTAGCCAGGGTCATAATCTCTTTCTTGTATTCCTTGGAGCAGATCTGTGTGCCTGTGGCATCCTCAAGCCCCCTCGTGATGAGCAACCAGAAGGAGGTGCTACGCTGCTTCACTGTGCTAGGTGAGTGGGGAGCATCAGTGGACATGGATGGGCTCACTGCCTGCTGTGTGTGGAGGATGGTAGTGGCTGGGGCATGGGTTAGGGTGAGATGATCTCTATTTTCACCTCTGCCTGGGCCTGACTGTGGCTCCAGAGGCCTGGACAGCAGCTGCAGTCCAGAACATCTGTCTTCCACACAGGAGCATGTTATTGCCCTGCTTAATTCCTTGCGGGGCTTCTGCCCCATGGTCCACATTCTATCTCCCACCCCTGCCTGCTTTTCTGCACCCCTGCTCTGGTCTCATTCCCTGCTCTCTGGTCCCCCTTGGTCACCCAGCCTGGCCTCACATGACCCACCCGGAGGTACCATCCATCCTGTCACTACCCCCAATGGAGGCTGGGGCTCCTGGACAACAGGGCCCTCGTTTGCCAGCACTGTCCCCATGCCCTGAGGGGTGGGTAGATGGTGTGAGGAAGGGCCCTGCCTGTATTTGGGTCTGTCACACTGCTCAGGGACATAGCATCAGCATCCATCTGGAGCTGGTCAGAAAGGCAGAGCCTCCCTGCCCCCATACCTGTATCAGCATCTACCTATACACAAAACCGGGGTGGGAGGAGGCTGGTTCCCAGGAGAAGCATAGAAGGATGAGAGTGGGGAGACTGGCCTCAGCCAGGCTGAGGGGAGGGTGCGGCAGGTGGGAGGAACAGCAGGTCCGATATCTAGGCAGAGCAAATGTCCAGGATCCACCATGAATGATACTGGTCCATGAAGGATAAAGAACCTGCTGAGGTCATTGCCAGAAGTTTCCCACTGGCAGCACTCAGAAGTAGAGACTGGGTGAAGAGTCCCCTGGGGGTGCCTGGAGTTCAGGCTGCTTTAGCCGGCTTGGGCTAGAGGTCCAAGTGCTTGGCAGCTTAAAAGTCTCAGCTTTAGAGTGACAGGAACCAGGAAAGGCAGGAGAGGGCACTGAAGGCCCTCTCACAGGCCCTCTATGAGTTTGAGAAGCTAAAATGAACATCTACACCCTGGGTGTGTCAAGCATCTGCGTCTGAACATGTTTTGGGTGGTGCTGACATAGCCGGGCCTAAGGTCTTGTGTGCTCCAACCTCTCACCTTAGTGGGCACCCTGAGGAGGCCATCGAGGCTGAACTGAGTGGTTAAGCTGTAGCTCCAGCTTCTCATTGTTCACACAGCAACTCTGCATGCTCTTTCTCTGTGCTGGGAAGTGTGTGGATGCTCTTGGTGCAGGGATGAGTAAGACAGAAAAACCTCAGCCTTGTGGAGTTGCAGTTTCAGGCATCAAGCCTGACCTGCATATATTGCCTTGTAGCCTGCAGCTCACCTGACCGCCTACTGGCCTTCCTGCTGCCCAGGCTGGACACCAGCAACGAGAGGATCCGTGTGGGCACCCTACAGATAGTGAGGCACGTCATCAACTCAGCCGGTGAGTGCCCTCCATGCCTGCCAGGCTGACCAGCCCATGGTCAGGTCCAGTGTGGAATAGTGTCTGGCAAAAGCAGATACTGCTCATGTTTAGGGGAAAATACCATCCCACTTTGAAGTCTTTTTAAAAAGTTCTTAACTTTCTATTTTGCAAAATTCCAAACATTTTGAAAAGTTGCAAAAATAGTATTTGTCCATCCTTCACCCAATGTTGATTGCTGGCACTTACCTTTGATTACTGGTCAGACACCCCGCATGACTCTGCATGCTCTCTCAGGCCACACTCCCCCTATAATCATTCTGCTGAGAGCACACAGAGCCTCACAGACAGATATCACAAAGCTTTCTGGTGTAACTTGGTTTCTCTTCATTTTGGGAGCAAGTCAAAAACATACTTTGATTTAGTTTAGTTGTCTCTATAATGTCTTGTACCAAGAAGATTCCATTTTTAATTTGTTTTTTAAATTTTATTTATTTATCTATCTATCTTTTTTTTTTTTTTTTTTTTATAATTTGAGTTGGAGTCTCACTCTGTCACCCAGACTGGAGTGCAGTGGCCACTCCCATCCACTGCAGCCTCGACCTGCTGGGCTCCGGCGATCCTTCCGCCTCAGCCTTCCAAGTAGCTAGAACTACAGGTGTGTGCTACCACGCCCAGCTAATTTTTTGATTTATTGTAGAGATGAGGTCTTGCCAAGTTGCCCGGGTGGGTCTCGAACCCGCGGGCTCAGGCAATCCACTAACTTAAGCCTCCCAAAGGCACGGGATTACAGGCTGAGCCACTGAACCTGGCTTATTTATTTATTTTTGAGTTGGAATCTCACTCTGTTGCCCAGGTTGGAGTGCAGTGGCACACTCACGACCACCCCAGCATCAACCTGCTGATCTCCGGCAGTCCTTCCACCTCAGCCTTCCAGGTAGCCAGAACTACAGGCGCCACCACACCTGGCTAATTTTTTATTTATTTTAGAGACGAGATCTCACCAAGTTGCCTGTGCTGGTCTCAAACCTGCGGGCTCAAGCAATTCGCTCGCCTCAGCCTCCCAAAGTACTGGGATTACAGGCTGAGCCACTAAGCCCGACCTATTTGTTTTTTTATAAAGAGTTGAGGCTAGTTGGTTTGTAGACCATCCCTCGATTTACATATGCATGATGGTTTCCTCAGAATTAAAGGACTCAGATTTCCTAGTTTTAAGACTAATTTAATTAATTAGTAATAAACTTAAAAAATAATATTTTTCACACATGAATCTGTAGTTTTCCATGAATCTCATTTATGTCCTATCCCAGGCTTCAGTACAAAGTGGCTGTGGGAACATTAGCCCTATAGTCTGCTGGGTACAGCCTGTGAGCTAAGGATTGTCACATTTTAAATGAATTGTAAAAGCAAACAAAGAATATGTGACAGAGACTACACATGACCCTCAAAGCCTACAGTGTTTTCTGTCTGGCCCTTTACAGAACTTACATGCTGACCCCTGTCTTCTGAGGTTCAGCACATCAGGAGATGGGTTGCAAACAGTGACCTGAATATGGGGGTTAGGGGAATGATGCAGGAGCAGCTTGACAAAGGGGCAGCAACAAGGGAGGACAGGGGCAGCCAGGGTCACAGTATAAACTGTGCCATGAAGCCAGGAGTCTGATGAAGGTGCCGCTGGATATTGGCTCCCTCAGCAAGCACCTGCACCACCAGAGACAACCTGAGGCCCTGCTTCTGGTTGGCTGTCTAGGTCCTGGGAGGTAAGTGCCTGCCCTCTGCAGAGGGGCTGGGAGGTAAAGCAGCTGCTCCCTGCAGAGGGACTGGGAGGTAAGCACCTGCCTCTATAGTGGGACTGGGAGTGAGCACCTGTAGCTTCCATACCAAGAGAGGGCTGCCTCTGGTCAGAGCTCCCTGGGGAAGGGAGCCTCAGAGGCACAGGATGTTAGGCAGTCAGACAGAAAGTAAAGCATCTCCTCCATCAGCATTTAGTTTCAACCCCCAGTAACCTAGCAACCCTGTGAGGTAGGTAGAATTGTCCCCATTTAACTGATGTGGCTAATCTGGACAGTGACCAAGTGGTACCTGAAACGGAATTCTTATGGAATTCTTAGTGTCAGTGCTTTTGTTGGAGATGCTTTTTTCCATACAGTAGTTCAATATTTTAATGTAATTAACCATGCTCAACTTTTCTTTGTGAATTCTTCAATCGCATTTATGCTCTTTAGAAGTCACTTTGGCCTGTAATCACAGCACTTTGGGAGGTGGAGGCGAGAGGATTGCCTGAGCCCAGGGTTCGAGACCATCCTGGAGAACTTGGCGAACCTCGTCTCTACAATAAATAAAAAAATTAGCTGGATGTGGTGATGCATTCTCATAGTTCCAGCTACTTGGAAGGCTGAAGCGGAAGGATCACTTGAGTCCAGCAGATTGAGGCTGCAGTGGCTGTGAGCAGCGTGTCACTGCACTCCAGCCTGGGCAACAGTGAGACTCCGACTCAAAAAAAAAGTTATTTTGTATTCCCCTATACTTCATTTTCTCCCTTAAGTTCTTTCTCTATGTATTTACATACATACAAGTGTATGTGTGAAAGAAATAGATTGTTTTTTTAACCAAGTGACATAGTTCAAAACATGCTTTGTTCACTCTTTAGCACATCTTGGAGAACTTTTAGCATCAGGACATATGCATCTGTGTAATTTTTTATTATTTTTATTTTGAAGTATAACATATGCAGAAAAATGCACATGTTTTAACTGTTAGGTCAATGAGTAATCACAAAATGAGCCCATATTTAGGTGAAGAAATAGAACATTGACAACACCCAGGAGCTGCCTTCTTAGACCCCTCTGAAGTGGTGACTTCTAACAATAGAAGATAATGTTGCTGTTTCTGCATGTAGTATAAAGAGAATTGTATAGTATGAGTTATTTTGTATCTGGCTTCTTTTCCTCACTGTTTTGTTTGTGAAACTTGTGCATAGGGTATAGTTCATTCATTTTCATTGCAAGTATTCCGGTGAATTATCTACTACAAGGTATTTATTTCTCTGGTGATGGATAAAGGGCTGTTTCCAGTGTCATACTGTTATGCATAATGCCACTATTAATATTTTTCCTGTGCACACTTAGTGTATACCTAGAAGGTTATAAGGTATTCATATGTTCAACTTTAGTAATAAACCGTTCCATTTTTCCAAAGTAGCTGTTTATACCCCAGTTTATACCCTACACTGTATAACTCACAAACAGCTTGTGAACATTATCGCTTCATGTCCTCACCAACACTTATCGGTCTTTAATTTTAGTCATTTCGCCATTTTTGTGAATGTGCTGTGGTATCTCATGGTGGTTTTTATAAAATTTAAAATATACATATATTTTGGCTTATAATAATAAATTTATTAAGTTTGCTGATCTATCAGAAGTCATCACATTTTGAATGAAAATATTGTAACATGATTGAAAGTTGAAGTCATTGTTGATCCCTTCAGGTCATGCTTTAGTTCTGTGCCTATGTTAGGTGGACAGTTATCCTGATTTCTTTTTCTTTTTTTTAAGAAACCAGAATTTATTGAGAGGACAGAAAAGCTCCCACCCTGGGAAGGGACCTGAAGGGTTGCCCTATCCTGATTTCTATAGTAATCATTCCTTTGTCATTAACTATGCCTACTTTAAAAGTTTATAGGTACAAATTTATCTGCATAATATATTTATGTATAAATAATAGCATAAACATACATGAATATATATATATCTCTATATATAGATATATATAGAGATATATATATATATATTTTTTTTTTTTTTGAGTTGGAGTCTCACTACTGGAGGGCAGTGGCACGCCTCTCGGCCACTGCAGCCTCAACTTGCTGTGCTCTGGTGATCCTTCCTCCTCAGCCTTGCAAGTAGCTGGAACTACAGGCATGTGCTACCATGCCCAGCTAAGTTTTTTATTTATTGTAGAGATGATGTCTTGCCATGTTGTCTGGGCTGGTCTCGAACCTGCAGGCTCCGACAATCCTCTCGGCTCAGCCTCCCAAAGTGCTGGGGTTACAGGCTGAGCCACCGAGCCTGGCCATTTTTATATATATTTAAATCTTTTCTTGGAGGCCTGACCATTGGTGGGTTCTTTGTTTATTTATTTTTAACTGTGGTAAAATACACATAACATAAAACTTACCATCTTAATCATTTTTAAGTGTACAGTTCAGTGGTGTTAAGTACATTCACGTTTTTGTACAACCATCACTACCATCCTCCTCCAAAACTCTTTTCATCTCACAAAACTAAAATTCTGTCCCCACTAAACAACAACTCCTCCTATGTAAATCTCTCCTAAGCTACAGGCTCTTCTCCATGCTTTTCTTTCTCTTGTTGTTGTTGTTGTTGTTGTTTTTTGAGTTGGAGTCTCACTATGTCGCCCAGACTGGAGTGCAGTGGCTGCTCCCGGCCACCGCAACCTCGACCTGCTGGGCTCTGGCGATCCTTCCGCCTCAGCCTTCCAAGTAGCTGGAACTACAGGCGTGCGCTACCATGCCCGGCTAATTTTTTATTTATTGTAGAGATGAGGTCTCTCCAAGTTGCCCAGGCGGGTCTTGAACCCGCGGGTTTAGGCAATCCACTCACCTCAGCCTCCCAAAGGCACGGGATTACAAGCTGAGCCACCGAGCCCAGATTTTTCTTTCTCTTGTAATTTATCTGTGGAAGAACCTGACTGTTAAACCTGTAGAGTTTCCTATCATTGAGTTTTGCTGACTGCATTCTCACGGTACAGGTCAACACGTTTCCTGTCATCTGAATTTCTTGCAAATTGTCACCTGGATTCAGAAACAGGATCTGACTCAAGATTAATCCCTTGGGCAAGACTATGGGAGTCACATGATATCTGGTTTTCTCTCTTTTGGGCATAACTCTTAGCAGCATAGATGCTTAATGCCTGTACCTATTAATTCATTGTTGGGAGGGGGTGATAATGTAATCCTATCATTTATCTTTCATTGATTAATTGGAATACCTTGATAA